GGTCTGTGTGACCCTCCAAGGAAGTGCCTCCCCAGACCCACACTGACCCACCACCAAACTGGTCATGCTGGATGATGTTACAGGCAGCATCACGTTCACCACTGCGTCTCTAGACTCTTTCACGCCAGTCACATGTGCTCAGTGTGAACCTGCTCTTATCTGAAGAGAACGGGGCGCCAAAGGTGGACCTGCCAATTCTGGTGTTCTCTGGCGAATGCCAATTGAACCGCATGGTGCTGGGCTGTGAGCACAGGTCCGACTGGAGGACGTCGGGCCCTCATGCCACCCTCATGGAGTCTGTTTCTGACAGTTTAGTCAGATTCATCTTGCAGTAGATCAAGCTGATAGTGATAGTGATAGCTGATAGTGGTCCTCTGCTGGACCACAAGACGAACTACTTCAGACATTCTGTTGGCGCTAATAGTCTGTATATTTGAAAAGATCTGGAACAGTTTGTGTATTTGTTTTTTTTCCCAAGTTTGAACAAAGGTTTAAATACAAAGTGGAAGCTCTAACACAGTCATCACTACGAGCCATTGAACATGTGTTTATAGATGTTTTATTCATGTGTATCTGCAGATTTGTCGCCCCACAGCAATGGTAGTGACTGCGGCTACTCCTCAAGTATGGAGGGCAGTGAGACGGGATCACGGGAAGGTTCTGATATTTTCTGCTCTGAGGGAATATGCAACCATGACGATGCAGGTACGGTGCGAGCAGCTCAGTCCTTACAACAGGAAACATTTCAAACATTACAGTGTCTCACTGTGTGTCTTTGTTGACCCTCTGCAGGAGATGACTCAAACGCCCATCACTGTGCTGAAGACAAAGAGGAGGATGGAATAGACAGCTGTTTGGACTGCTGGCCACACTCTGTGGAAAACACTCAATGCATGAGTAAAAAGAAGAAAAGGAAGGGCAAAGGTTTATGCAACGATCAGGTGAGAGAACAGACTGTAGAATTCACATAGCTCTTTGCAGAATATTTAACGCTGTGTATCAACTAAAGTCTGCGCGTTTCCACAGGGACAGAAAGGTGACGGTTGTATGTCAGGTGGGAACACAACGGGCAGCAGTCCACCGTCATCGCACACTTGCCGAACCAAAGAAATCTTTTCCTCCTTATGTGGCGACACATTTGCCAGCATTGCACTGCGGTTACCGTGGACAGCACATCAAAACAACCTTGGCCTTGATGCAAGGTCTCCAGAGGCAAATGCAAGTCTCATGGAACTTCTGGTCAGTAAGAAATATATTTTAGAATGAAGGGAAACTTCAGTATTTTTCAGCCTAAACTGTATTTTCCCATGTTTTTATGTCTAAGCGACTAATGGTAACAACAATTTTTGAAACTGGTCCAGTACTGAGCGAGAGTGCTGCAGTGAAACAGGCTGCAAATGTAACCACTCGGGGCATGTTCGCACCATCAGTTTACATTGATGTAAAGTGTTTGTTTTTGCCACTGGCAGGCTCAGATTATTATTAGAAGTGTCTGACATTATGTGAAGGACGCCACAGAGGAGAACAAAGCTTTCTTTAGCTTTAGCTTGATCTGATCTTAATGTCATTGTCAAGTCTTGCTCAAGGAGAAGTCTTGTGGGGCGTCGGTGGCTTAGTGGTAGAGCAGGCGCCCCATGTACAAGGCTGTTGCCGCAGCGGCCTGGGTTCGACCCCCCCCCCCTTTCACACTTACCTGTCCTGTCCATTAAAGGCAAAATGGCCAAAAAATAAATAAATAAAAAGGAGAAGTCTTGTTCTGAAATCTCGTAAGAGGTGACGTGTTGCAGGAAAACAACAGTAGAGACATCGTAGAGGAGTTGGAGAGAGGAGCGCCAGGAAGAGTTTGTTTCAATGTCATGACCAAATATTTATTCGATTTCAGCAATGTGGAAAAGTCAGTGAGTTCAGTTTGAGACTTCTCCTTGAGTGAGACTTGGTTACACACAGTAACACCACAATAAGTACATATATGCAGGTTTTTTAGTAAACATTAGAAAGCAGTTTGGAGGACAGTGAAAGAACAATGACCACATATTTTCGCAGTGAGGTGAGCTCCAGGAGGCTGTGGAGAAGGTGTCTGCTATTGTCCATTATAGCTTTGTTCAGTGTGCCCCTCTCCACCACAGATCTTAGTGGGTCCAATCTCCTGCTGAGCACTGAGCCAGCTTTTTTAAACCAGCTTGTCCAATCACTTGACGTTTTTGTCCATCAAGCTGCCTCCCCAGCACACTGCAGCGTAGAAAAGTGCACTGGCCACCACCATGTGATAGAACATAGTCAACATCTCCACACACATCAAATGACCTCAGTGTGTCACTGTGTCATGCTGGTGTCATATTTCTATAAATGCTGATCAGAGCCAATCGCAGCTTAAGGTGATAAATACAAGTGACTACGGCACAGTCAGTTGTCCGGGGAATTCATGCCGATTGTAGCCTTACCCGCTAAATACTTAAAGCCAGAAGTTAGCAAGTGTTAGTAGGTTATTTGTCCAGTGAGAACAGGGATTAACAAACAGACTGGCTCAAGCAGGGGTAAAGAAAATGTTTTGTTTCTCTGTAGAGACCCCGCCTCATAATAAAAATCTGAGCCTGTCGGTTTGACCGTACAAACGTGCCCAGAGTGGTTACATTGCAGCCAATTTCATGACTGTTGGCTGCAGCCGTCTCGTCAATACTGGACCAGTTTAAAAGACTGTTGCTCCCATTAAGAGAATAGGTTCCAGGTTAAAAAATACCACAGTGTCCCTTTAACCAATAACAATAATGATAGCTCTCCACTTCAGCTTTGCTAGTAAGCCAAGCCACTGAACTACAGTGCTTTCCACGTTTCCCTAAAAAGAGTTAAAGAGCTCTGGTTGTGTTCTCATTACAGGATGATTCAGAAGTGACCTCAGATGAGGAGAGTTGTCTGACACAAGATGAAATCCAGGCGTTTTTGGAACGAAACCAGTCCTTCTACAACAACCGTCACCAGTACCGACAGCTCCTGAAAGAGAAGTTCACCAACTACTGCCGCTCCACCGAGCGGAGTAAGCCCGTCTGTGGGAAGTGGTTCACCACCACCAGTGTCAACTAACTGCACTAATTTAATTTCCCCTGGGGAAAACACAACACAACACTTGTGACCACTGCTGCAATATCTTTTAGAAAAGATACAGTTCTGAAGTACATTTGGTGTCTTGATCGGTCAAATCTACTTTAAAGTAAATGTGATTCTTATTTCTGTTGATCATCTGCCTCTTTCTCTCACTTGTACACACAAACACTTTTTCATCTCATTTCTGGGGCGCTCTCTCACCTGTAATTGTTCTCTTCGACCAAGCCTAGCTGTCTGTTGTTGGTCTCCTGTAGGGTCGTCGGGTAAGAGCACAGTGGATTCAGTAATCAAGCTTTGCAAGCTGTGACATTAGGGTTACATTGTAGGAGTCTTATTTTCTGTTTTTGTTTGTTTCTATTTTGTTTCTCTTTGGTGACACTTCAGTGTAGTGGTAAAGGTTGTACCATTAAATGTGTACAGAAATTCTAAATATAAAGATTTTACAGAGAATAAACATCCATTTGTAATAAGGATTTGGGTGTGACGTTAAGAGCGCAATGTGCAAAATTTACTAAATAAAGAATATTTATTAATATGCATTATAAATGTGTTGTTTTTTTGTAACCGTTCAAGGTCATGTGCATTTTGGGAGTTCTTCTGTGAGCCACTATGGCCTTTACCTTTAGATGTCAGCCTAGTCTTGAGTTTGGATGGTTGTTCAAGGAATATATCTGTTGAAGTTTGACACAGGGTTTGCTCCAAATTGCATACTTTGTCTTTTTACTTAAAGTATGTACTGCAGCTGCCCTTCTACTTCCTCATAACATTATACACTGAACTTTGACAACTTTGGAGATAAAACAAACACCACTCATCGAATTCCCCAGACACAAAGAGTAGCCAGAAAAGCATGCTGGCTTGGATGTAGCAGAACATCCTAGCATTTTTGGCATACTGCATCTGACAAACTATGTATTGGGACATACTAAATCTTTTTTCTGGCACACTATATAGTATGGTAGTGTGGGGATTGGAGCTCACAGATGATCTTAGACACATGTATTGAAGTCCATTCCTGCCAGTGAGGTGAAAAAAAAAAAAGATCCTGTAAGTCGTTATAATTAAAAACTTTATCGAAATAAAGACGTAATGTCTCAAATTAGTGACTGAGAGTTTGAAAACAAGTTAGTATTTTATTATAATGAGAAACTTGAAAATAAGTTAGTTTTGTTTGTAATAATTTTAGTAATTTAGTTTAGTAATTTAGTTTAATATTTTTCTCAAAATAATGTGTTAGTGTCTCAAAACAATAAACTCAAAAATATTGATTTAATATCTCAAAATAATGAGACACAATATTAAGTCATATTTTTTATAAAGTTTGTCATTAATTTCAGATACTAACTCATTATTTTGAGTCAAAAACTTTTTTTTAGACAGGTATGTCATTTTTTAGGAGGTGTTTGAGATGAATCATTTTGAGATAGGGATGTTTCTCCTTATTTTGAGATATTAACTCATTATGTTTGATAGTTTCTCGTTGTTTTGAGATTATTTTTTGATAAATAATTGATTATTCCAAGATACTATGTCATTAAAACATTATTTTTGAGGATGTTTTTCCATTATTGTTAGATACTATGTCATTATTTCACCACTTACATGATTGATTTTGATGATTCTGTTTATTTATTTCACTTTATTAATTTATTATTTTTATTTTTATTTGTTTAGTTGTCATTTTTTGTCCCACTTGCTTAAATACGCTTTCACACTTGAGCAAATTACACTTGCAAATGAAACAACGTTTGGGGAAAACTTCCAGTCGGTGGTGTAACGGTCATATTCACGATATACGTAAACTAACGTTGGTCTCATACTATTTTTCAGAATATTTTTCACACGCTAAAAGCGGTTAGATTATAAATTTTCAGAAATCCGAGTGATCCTGAATGTGTCATGGGGTTGAATCCGGAAGCAGGCAGCAGAGCTCTGTTTGATGAACCCACAGGGCTCGAGACTGAACAACCGTACACAGGTTAGGTATGCTGTGAGACAGGTATCTAATGACTCTGCATTTCCGACACAGACAAATCCTTGGTAAGTACAAACAACTGGACACATCGGTCACGTATTAAACGTCGCAGTACAGAACTTAACCATGACTTCATGAGTGGGGGTTGGTGCTGGTGAATCACTGAGGAAGTGACGGTTCATCCTGGGGAGCAGTTTAAAGCGCATTTGAAGTATGTGAACTTGCGCCATAAAACAGCGCCAACGCACTGAGGGATTCTTTTTTTAGCTAGGTTAGTAGTATCAGTAGAAACCCGCACTTTAAAATATAACATTCTGTTTCATATTTGTGCCTTTTGTGTTCAGTTCAGTGTTCAATTCATTCAAACTACTGGAAATAATTTCCTTTGATTTTTTTATTTGAACAAGCAATTTGTTGTATTTCAGCACTGCACTGAAAGCAGCAGGAAGGCAGAACTGAAAACACATTGCTATCTTTTATGTATCTCAAGTAATATTGTTAAGGCAATATTGAGCAACGTTTATTCCATATCATTCTCATGTGTTGCAGCCCAAACTGTAAAGTGAACTTCGCCAGGACAAAATGGGTGCATTGTACGTTTCTGCAAACCATGAATTAATCTGCGTGTTTCACACCATCATATCGACGTCTCTAAAGTGACACAGTATGTGAACTGACTCTCATTAGGAGGTGGAGGGGATGGCAGGTGGCGTGCCAAGCTTGAGACCAGCATTTCCAGCAGCTTTTTAGCCAGCAATCATGGGTGTTTTTGAGGGACTCATCATTGTTTTTCTACCAGGAATAGTCCCATAAAAAGCGGTTGTTTATTACTGAGACATTACTGTGTTTTCTACCAGGATAATGTCATGAAAAGCAGATGTTCTTTATGTAGACATCACTGCATTTCCAGCGGCTTTGTAGCCAGCAAACATGGGTGGGTTTTAGCAACCCATTGCTGTGTTTCCAACAGGGATAGTGCCACAAAAAGTGGCTGCTTTTTACCAAGACAAAGCATTTTTTGGCCAGATAGAGCACGATAAGCAGACATCACTGCATTTCCACCTGCTTTTTAGCCAGCATCTGTTTTTTACTGAGACATTCCTGTGTTTCCAGCCAGGATTGTGCCACAAAAAGAGGTTGTTTATACCTGACATCGCTGTGTTTTCTGCCAGAATAGTGCAGCTAAAAGCAGTTGTATTTTTTACAGAGAAATCACTGCATTTCCAGCAGGTATTTAGACAGCAAACATGGTTGTGTTTTAGAAGCCTGTCGCTGTGTTTTGACATGGCAGAGATAGTGCCATGAAAATTGGTTGCTTCATACCGAGACATTGCTGCATTTCTTGCTTGGATAGTGCCACGAAAAGTGGTTGTTTTCAACCAAGACATTACTACCTTCCCTGCCAAGAAAGTGTCACGAAAAGCGGTTATGTCTATCGAGACATCACTGCACTTCCTGCTAAGATGGTGCCACAAAAAGAGGTTGTATTGTACTGAGAAATAGCTGCATTTTTAGCCAGAATTGTGCCACCAAAGTCAAGAATTTTAAACTATCCTTAACTTATCCTAGCCAGACAAAATGGTTTTTTTTTGTTTCTATAACTACATGTTATTTGTTGTTGAAACGTAAAGAAACACAAAGTGTCAACATATCTGCTACATAACAAATGTAGGGTATCTATGGTTTGCATAAACGTTCACTGCCAACATTTATTCTGGCAACTGGGCTGAACAAAGATTGCTTTAGTTGAAATTGCGCATCATCAATAATTGATGCAATCAGGGGACACCGGTCAAAAGAGTGCCAAGAGGCCTGTATATTCACCGTGTGTGCTGCAATAATGTTCTAAATATTGTTCAGTCTTCTGTGTCTGTTAAATATGTTTATATTTGGCTCTAAATAGTCATGTTTCTCTCATGTAGTAAAGCTAATAAATTTTAATGTTTGCAGATCATGTCTCAGAGGGACCTGAAGGAAGCGTTTGTCAGTAATCTCAATGGGACCAGTCTGCAAGAGGTGGCGCTGGGATCATTTCTCACCCCAGTGTGTCTCATCAACAGAGGACTGATTTTGACCCTCTATTATCAGGCCAAAGGGACTCTTCCACTGCCACTTCCACTGATTTCTCATCTGCTTCTAGACTTCTGTGTGCTCATCCTTCCCCTCGTGCTGTCATGCACCGTTCTGAGCGACATTCTTCACCAGGTCATCTTGGGCCTGGCTGTTGTGTCGGCTTGTGTGTTTTGCTACATCTACCGTGTCAGCAGTCAACCCCAGAACACCATCAGCGCCTTCCTTCAGAGTCACGTTCAGTTCGATCAGATTCCCTTTGTGACCATCTTTCGAGTGTTTGTAAATGTGAAAACAGCCATCAGCATTCTCGCCGTAGACTTTATTGTCTTTCCGAGGCGATATGCTAAAACTGAAACTTATGGGACGGGGGTTATGGACTCTGGCGTTGGAGCGTATGTCTTTGCAAATGCCCTCGTCTGTCCAGAAGCACGGGGGAAGAATGTCTCAGGATCCAAGATGAACCATATCAGAAAGCAGCTGCTGTCCGTCTGGCCTCTGGTTGTACTTGGCATGGCAAGACTAGTGAGTGTCAAAATGTCCGGCTACCACGAGCATGTGTCGGAATACGGGGTCCACTGGAATTTTTTCTTCACGCTAGCCATTGTAAGAGTCGTAGCTTCTGTGATTTTGTCCGTTTTACCAGCCAGTCAGTCATGGCTCGTTGCCCTCCTGATAAGTGGATTGTATCAGCTCACTCTGGAGATAACGGGGCTGAAGGGGTTCATTATCCACAACAACGACAGAGACAAGGACTTTCTGCACGCCAACAAGGAAGGCATATTCTCTGTAGTGGGCTACGTAGCCGTCTACATGGCAGGAGTTCAGGTTGGGCTCTATGTGATGAAACCAAGATCAAATGTTAGACAGTGGCTCAAAACACTTTTTAACCTCTTGTTGGGAAGTTTTGTTCTGTACACATCTCTGTACCAGTGTCAGACACTCGTGGAGCCGGTGTCTCGCCGCTTAGCTAACTTACCTTTCTGCCTCTGGAGTGTTGCTCAGTCTTTGTTCTTTATGTGCTGTCTCGGCGTAGCTGATATGATTCTACTGTTTTCCAAAAGATCATCCGGCTGTCAACTCATACCTTCATCGTGGAATTTGTATAAAAAACCATCAGACTCTGAGAAAAAGACGGGTGAAATTGAGAGACACTGTCTCGTCCAGGCCGTCAGCAGGAATCAGTTGTTGTTTTTCTTGCTTGCCAATGTCATGACCGGACTGACCAACTCAGTGGTGGACACGCTGACCTGCGGCAGCTCGTTGTCAGTGTGCGTCTTGCTGTTGTACATGTTGATGAATTGCCTTGTGATACATGTTTTACATCTTTGTGGAATTACAGTGAAATTTTGGTAAAATTTGATTAAATAAAGGACAGGGTTCATTTGGGTATTTTTTAAGGTTTTTGAAGGGCTGCAGTGACGAACCTTTAAAGTCAAGACAGTAAAAAAAGAAGATATATTCTGTCATGCTGATGATACTGTTGTACATAATGCGTTTATGCAAATGAGTGCATGTCTTGAAGGGTGTGTCCAAATAAGTAAAAAAAAATACTGTGAAACCAAACAATGTTCTTTAATTATTTGCATGTATCTATGTTTTAAAAAAAAGTGTTAAATAATGCATTCTGCCTATAAGGGATTGGCCTGTTGAACTGACATCATTGTACTTGAGATTTAAGACTGGCTCGGGTCAGCATCTGAGTTTTTCATGGAAGAGAAAACAGCATTTAAAAATATGCAGCAAATAAATGTAGACTGTAATGTGAGCTGCAGTATGTTATTTTGTGTATCTGTATACTGCATGTCTCAAAGATATAAGAGTCTTAAGTAATTTTATGTTTGTAGCATGAGTCATTTCAGGAGGTAGAATTCAGTGGAATCTGGGTATTGGTGCATAAAGTAAACATATATACTGTAAAACTTCAATTTATAACCTGGGCTATTATTTGCTTAAATCGCTGAAATCAACAGGCCTTTGATTCCTTTCACACAAAACTGTTGCTCAGCAAAGATGGATATAACTTGTATGAAAATGAGGATTCATCAGAGATAGAGTTACGGCACTCAAGGATTATGGCACCCAGTATACCGACACAATTAAATGCCCAGTCCCTTTTACTGGCCCAGTGTGGCTGCACATTTTGACAAACAAAGCCTGTCTCAAATAGATGCCTGGTCTGTTTTTTATAGAAGTTCGTTGGAAGTATAAAACCAGGTTCTTTGCTACCCACTTGAGCTAACATTAATTAGCTGTTAAGATCAGGCCTACAAATATAAATGTTTGAACTTTTGTCAATATGGAGATGCTACATTTTGTTAGATTGGTTACATTCTCCACAATTAAATAGTTCAGTTCATTTTACTGAAACCATGAGCACCAAAGAAGTCTTCATTCAGATTTATCAGCATGGTAACAAAGAGGGATGGGGGGAAAAAGTAGTGACTCCCTTCCTCTGAACCTGTCATAAAGTAAGAACGTGTCTGTTCCTCAATTACCATGTAAGTTATTTGTATTCCTTTAGTTCGTAAGTGTTGTTAGATCAAAAGGATCAAAGGGATTGGGGGTCACAAGGGGGCTGGAGCCTATCCCAGCTGACGAGAGGCAGGGTACACCCTGGACAGGTCGCCAGACTATCATAGGGCTGACGCATAGAGACAGACAACCATTCACACTCACTTTCACAACTTCGGCCAATTTAGCCCCCGAGAGAGTCACCGATTAACCTGCATGTCTTTGGACTGTGGGAGGAAGCTGGAGTACCCGGAGAAAATCCACGCTGACCTGGGGAGAACATGCAAACTCTTCACAGAAGGGCTCCCCCACCCTTGGTTTGAACCAGAAACCCCGTTGCTGTGAGGTGACAATGCTAACCACTGCACCAATTGGTTGCATCTCCCATCGACATGTATCTGTACATATATATACATTTATATATTTAAAATCACCCTCTCACCCTCTTCAGGTGGTATCCGTATCATCCTCAAGCTCGGATCCTCTACCAGAGGCCTGGGAGTTTGAGGGTCCTGCGCAGTATTTTAGCTGTTCCTAGGACTTCACACTTCTGGACTGAGGCTTTAGATGTTGCTCCTAGAAACTGCCTAGGCCACTCTCCCAGTTTGGGGGTCAGTGCCCCGAGTGCTCCTACTACCAGAGGGACCACGTCAACTTTGACCTTCCACGCTGTTCCAGCTGTTCTTTCAACCCTTGATACTAGGGATACACTGAATATTCGGCCGAATATTGCAAAAAAAAAACATTCGGTATTCGGTGGAATAAGTGAAAAGCAAGGCCGAATAATAGCGCTGTGTTTTGATAATGCAATCAAACAGCGTACGGTGACGGATGGAGTAAAATGTCGGCAGTGTGGAAATATTTTACTCCGTCTGTCACCGCACTCACATTTGCGACTAAAAATAGTTTTGTGCGAGCAAAATAAATCATTCAGCACGCTGTGTGAGTACAGATTTCAACCAGCAGCAGAAACGAAAGGCGAATCCCGCCGGTTGTGGGTTGAACGGGGGTCACAGACACAGACAGGAATGTATTCCTGTCAAATACGGCGGCCATAGTGCTCCGCAGCGCAAGATATAAGGCTTACCAGCGACAGAGAAGTCCAGCTCCAATAATGTCCTCTTCTTGGCGTCATGACTGCCCAAAAATACCTGGACAGCCGAGCCGTGGCGGCACACAGGTATGTGACGTGTCAGAGGAGAAACGAGCCGTTCACATTTCTCTCTTTGTGGCAGGTAACGGTCCACAAACCTCACCGCACTTTAGGGACTGTTCTTTACTTATGGAGGGACTGCTCTTTACTTTTCAGGGGAGGAGGGTGGCTGGTTGATTTTTATTTTATTTATTTATTTTATTTTGATCCCCCCTATGTTAATCACTGATTGATGCTGAAGTATGAATAAGTCAATAAGTAATTTATTCCATTGAAATATCATTGATGTATTATAGAAAAGTGATTTATCTTTTTATAAATGACAAAAGGCACATCTGCCTCATTTTTGCTGTGGTATCGTGATACTACTAAGAACCATGATATTTTCACTGGTATCGTACAGTGGGATCCAATTTTGGTACCGTGACAACACTAATCTGGAGGGGGTTCATCTGAAAAAACTAATGAAAAACTAAACAATGATATTCAGTATTCGGTACTCAGTATTCGGCCAAGCGTTTAATTGTATTTGGCTTCGGCTTCGGCCACAAATTTTCATTTTGGTGCATCCCTATGCTGGTGTGTCCCATCAGGATTTGGGTACTTAGAGTCCATACTGGGTACAGATGTTCTTATACACTATCGCAGCCACTCGGTTGTGCCTTCCCATGTACACTGATCCTGCCTGCATCCTACACCCTGCCACTATGTGCTGGACTGTCTCGGGTCTGATCTGCTGTGGTAGACCCTGGCCTCTATGTATGTAATGGCCCTTGTGCTTAGGGCCTGGTCTTGCCTCTGTGCTCTCTGTCAGTCCAGCATTCTCGAGCCACCAGTAGGTTTCTTGATACCAGCCACTTCCTCTATCTGACGGTGGTATGTACCATGTAGGGGCTTGTCCCTCCGTGTTGTTTGCTCTTCCACCTCTCTGCCCTCAGGTTTCTTGGCAGCTCATCCTTTGGGGCCATCTATATACATATATGTGTGTGTGTGTGTGTGTGTGTGTGTGTGTGTGTGTGTGTAAAAATATAAAATAACTGTGTCATTAAAAAAGCATGTCCTAAAGATAATAGGCTCTAAAGTTTGCTCCTCAGACAGACTTTCTGGGTAATGACAGAGTGGACACTGTAGGGGTTCACTACCTCCAGCAGGTGGCAGTAGCGCGACATTACGTGTACAAGCTACCGTTAACACCCAGAGAAGAAGCGCAGGAAGAGGGCGGGAACAAGTGTGTGGATTAGGAGCTGGGACAGCAGGCGGAGGAGGGGGGAAGTCGTCCTGAAGGAATTTCTGACAGTAATGGAAAATACTCAGCTTCAAGTCTGCGTTGAAGAATAACCACGACTTTTCTCAGTTAAAACTCAGGCGGTGTTTCTATTCTGACTTTAACACGGAGGTAACGGTGAAATCAATGACTTCTGCGGACAGCCGAGCAGGACACAGACACGGAGGGGGGACGGTAAGTCAGGACCAGGACACCCGGCCACAGGGTCTCTGCTGCCGGATAACAGGTTTTATGGAGTCCCTGAGGTGCCCAGAGGCGACATGTTATTTATGTTGTTTGTTTTGTGCATGTGAGTTATTATCATCATGTTCCCACAAGGTATTAGATAATAAGATAATTAGATCATAACTGTAGGCACAGGATAATAAACTGATTACTATAAGTCACTTATCTCATGCGCACAGGATAATAACTTGAGGTAATAGATAAAAAAAACAAAAAAATAGCACATGTACGGGCTTTGTAGGTTTTCCTTTCTTTATTTTATAAAATGTAAATGAAGTTTAACTTGCCCTGGAGCACCTTTGTCAATGTGTAACTCTGTCTTCATTGGTTGGTTCATAGTCAGAGGCTTTGCATTTAAATGAAAAATATAAATGTTTTATAAATGTTCAACCCAATAACAAAACCTTAATCTAACCTTTAATAGTCTCTACAGTGCATGCAAGAAAAAAAATATTTTACATTTTCCTTGACTGAATGAAGGAAATGAGGCCAAATTTAGTGGCTTATTTGTTTTAGTTTAACATTTAAATGAAATTGAACATTGAATGAATAATAAATACGGTAATATATTTCTACCTTCCTTGAGAAAAGTTGCAGTTAATGATTATTTGTTACTGAATTTTTTGATTCAGTTAATCATTTGGTCTACAAAATGTTTGAAAACAGTGAGAAAAGGCAGCTAAACCCAACAGTGACTTCATCAATGTCTTGTTTTGTCCACACAACATTGCCAAACACCAAAATATTAAATTTATTATAATGTAAGAAGAGAATTTTCACATTTGAGAACCTAAAAATATAATATTTTGGGTATTTTTGCTTTTTAAAAAATGATTTAAACAGTTGCTGATTTATTTTCTGTTAATCAAATAATGAATTTATTGACTTATTGTTGCAGCTTCAGGTAACAGTTACATATACACACATACACGATGAGGAACATGACTGATGTACAGTTGTTGTGTGACACTTTTAATTGTGCTCTAAGCAAAAAAATTATTCATAAGATTAGATAAGATCGTCCTTTAATGTTCCTGCAGAAAAAAGCAGCATTACAGCAGCAAAGGGATAGATAGTGCAAACAGGAAGCATCAGTAGAAAAAAATAAAGTTCTCAGCAATATATTTAAGTACGTACAGTAAATAAACTGTTCAAAAACAAAGAGCAGTATAATAAGGAAGCGTCAAAAGGAAGCAGAATATAATAAACAGACAATAAATTGCAGCATATGCGTGCCTTACAGTAGCTGCTGTGACATTTTGTGTACATCAGTAGCCTTAAAATATTGAATAGATGATGCTTTATATTGGAGCCAATTTGACAGATTTTGGACTTGAGTTTGGTGTGAGAACAGCAAGACAGGATGAGGGTCACTCAAACAGGTG